CAAAAAAAAGAGGAAGATTGGCAATTGATGTTAGCTCAGGGCAAACCTTCCTCACCAAAAATTAAATAAGAAACTTTTTAAAAAGTTATGCCAATTTTTAAAAAATACTTGTGGGGCCGGCCCGGTGGCACAGTGGTTAAGTTTGCACGTTCTGCTTCTCGGCGCCCCAGGGTTCACTGGTTCGGATCCTGGGTGTGGACATGGCACTGCTTGGCACACCATGCTGTGGTAGGCGTCTCACATAGAAAAAAAAGCAGAGCAAGATGGGCATGGATGTGAGCTCAGGGCCAGGCTTCCTCACCAAAAAGAGGAGGACTATCAGTAGTTAGCTCAGGTCTAATCTTCCTCAAAAAAAAAAAAAAAACTTGAAATCATTCAAAGCTGCTTCTAGTTGCCTCTATATTGTAAAAATATTAATATACTTTTACACTGTATTTGCTCCTTATTAACATGAGTAAATTAAATCTTAAGCATAATAAAATATCATATTGTAGGCAATTATACGTCAGGGTAAAAAAATGAAAACCACTTTCAAGAATAACCCACCAGAATCAAACAAGCTTTTTCTACCACACTAAATAGACTGTTTATTTGCATATCTCATTATTTATATTACTTTAACTGGACTTTCTGAGCTCATACAACCAAACTGTCTTTTCGGAGAACATAACTAAACGTTCACCTTCAAAAAACTAAAATTCCATTTCTCTGATTTAGCCAAAATTATTACCTTCTCCATTAACAAGCTGTTGCAAATTTTTTGATTTTTAAAGAAATACTGGAAAAGACAGAGATGACTTGCCAAAAGTTCAGATATGCAATAAAGTAAATAAAAGCTTTACATTTTTTAAACAGTAATAGATTTCCACACACACTTTGCCCAAAGAAAATTCTATTTGCTAGAATGCTACAACATATTTTTACTTCCACAGAAGATGATGCAATCACTTAGAAATTTCTCAAAAGACAGATATTTGAAATTCTCTTCTGACTTTCTCAAAATATAGATGTTCCTAGAGCAAAAGGGATTACATTAACTGATAACAGTACCAAATTCTTCCTTCTATTTTGCATTTGAGATGCCTTTTACAGAGGTGTCATTTATGAAGGAAACATAAAACACTCATTTATTTCACTTGTGGGAATCTTCAAAATCCAGATTTACAGCAATGGGTAGAAAATATCTTGACATAGCTATTAAATTCCCAAAACAGTAAAACTTTTTATTTGTTAAAATATGAAATGTATTGGATATTTTATGGGGCAGATGCCTTCATTAACAGTTAAGGCCTCTCTCTCAAAATATATATTCTATTTTTAAAAGAGTTGCTAAACAATTTTCCTTATGAGTAAACATGAAAATCACTGTGCTATGGAATTCTTTTTTTACTAGGTTGTTTTGAACACAAAAACAGACACACAAACACACTCTGCATACTTTGCCAAGACAGGGTGAATGTATTCTGATGTTACTCAGCCTTTTAATGCTTCTAACACTACTGGCTAAATGCCTTTGCTGCTTTATATAATATAAAGCATGGTTGCGCCTTTCTCAAAAATCCAGTGAAACTGCTTCTCTGAGCTATAAAATTAGACTATTTTAAAAATAAGCTCAAAACGCTTAGAAATATTTAGGTCTTAAAGAAAAACACGTTTGTAGATCACCTTTCCAAGAGTAATTTACTTTGACTTGCTATAAATGTCCAATGACTCTGTGAGCTGGATATTTCTTCAAAAGGTTCATTGCATATAAAGAAAATTTCCAAAAATGGCTTACAAAACACTAAGTTCATGAAAATTTTGTTTTATATGCTTCCTAAAAGCATCTAAATCTGGGCAACTTAGACACTTATAAGGCTTATGACAGTAAAAATGCCTAAAACCATGCAATAATCTCTGATGAATTATATAATAAAGTTATTTTTTTAAAAAATAGATAAAGGGTTAATTTTTTAGACATGAATAACATTCTATAATAAAATAGAAAATTAGCTTAACTTAAAATTAGAGTTAATTAAAATGCACAGAAGCATTATAAATCATGTCTCAAAATATGTCTATCCAAATTAGTTTCTGCAAATCCTCACCATCGATCAGTGTTCCTGCAATCAAAATCATATTATAAAAAACAATTTTCTTCATGTCTTCTAAGCAGCCAGGAGGAAGGTATTGGTATAGGGCAGACAGTTAGGGAGCCAGGTATGTGGAGATGTTGAAGGTTAATATATAAAGGACATATAGCTTTGTCCAAAAAGAGTAAGGAAATGAATCAATGCATTCTGTCCAGCCGCAGAGTACTATTTTCTATGACTTACAGCAGTAATATTCAAAACTTTTTTGTTTGAGGACCTCCTAAAACAGTTGTTAAAATCTAGGTACTCCTTTGCACAATTTTTTAGTTGACAACCAAAGTTTTACATCATAATAGTTTCAAAGGATTTAATTATGTCATATTGAAAATAGCAGTAATTCCTGAAAAATGATTACTTTATTAACGTATCCAGTGGAATCTAAATACCATAATGATTTGATGCCCACCATTACCCACTTAAAAAAATACATGAATGAAGTGTTTTTAATACTTGGATATTTTACATGGTTCTTTTTTTTTCCCCTTGAACTTGTACTTTCATTCCAATCTTATCTGACAGCAGTGGTTTTCAACAGAGGTAAAGAGATGGAGTCCCTTGGGGTGGTCGTAGGGATTTTGCCTTCCAGAGAACATTTGGCAATGTCTGGAGACATTTTTGATTGTCACAACTGGGGTGAAAGGTGCTACTGGTATCTAGTGAGTGTCAGAGATGCTACTAAAAACCTTACAAAGCTCAGGACAACCCCCAATAACAAAGAATTATCTGATCCAAAATATCAATAGTGCTGAGGTGGAGAAGCCCTGTCCTAGAGTGATCTATTTCCACGTCTAGAAGTCTTTTATTCATCACATTATACCTCTCTACGACAAAAATATTTATATAAGTTGATAAAAATATAAATTTACTATAACATAAAGGTCTAAGTGTTAAAAATAATGTCTTCTGGAATGAGTTATTACAACTACAAGTAGTATCCGTTAATCTAAATAACATGATTAAATAATCATTACCAAATATAAAAAGTGAAAATACATTAAAGTGTTCCTAATAAGACGGGTGGGCTTATTTTGTTATTTTCAACTAGATATTGTATATGTGAATACATATTACTTATTGTTAGAATGAGACCAAATTCAGCTCAATAATATTTCTATTTTCATTTTTATGAGAGCTGAAAAACCTTCTTTCCATAAATAAGTAGATGAAAAACAAGTTCTGTGGGAACAACGTCACTTATTCTGTGATCTCCTCCTAGGTTATATACATAAATTGCACAGTGATTTACTATCAAAAATTATTTCAGTGATTTTTTAGTTAATAACTTAAGTAGATTCTCTTTAAACATTGTTAAAAGCAAAGACTTTGAAACCAGTTGACTTGCAAAGGATTTGTTACTTAATCCTTCAAGGTATTCACTTTCTCAATACCTATAGTTAGTGGGTGACCCAGAGATTTTTAAACCCCTGCTTTACCACAGAGGCCAAATTAAGCACTGTTCTACAAAAGGTCTTTGGCAACTTCTGGTACCTCAATATGAGAACACAATTTCACTTATCATGTAGGGTTTGGGGAGTCTCAGCAGGCATTCTGAAATTTAATAAGCGACTCTGGAAAATCTCTATTAACTGCCCCATAACCATGTCTGTTTATTAGTCCATCATGAAAATTCAGGCATGGTAGTCATCAAATACCTATGCCTACAGCCTAGGTTTCAGAAACCACACCATGGGTTTTATGAAAATTAGATTCTCAAGAAAGAAAGTGGTCCAAATATGACTAAAATTCTCTCCATTACTCCCTTACCTCTTAGATACTCTGTACTGTGCTGTGGTCAATTTTCCAGTCTCAGGGTCATGTACTGTAGCTCGGCTCAGCTACAAAAAAAGAGAAAGGACAAGGACTTACTCACGTAGCAGGCAATTTTGGGCTTTTGTTTTGTTTTGTTTTGTTTTGCCAAGCCACAGGTGATTGGAAGGGTTCAGATTGGTCTGGATGGTAGGTAATGGTTTCAAATCAGCAAAAACATTTAAAAAGGTGGCAGTAAGAAAAGCCACTTCCAAATCAAGAGAAAAGGGGTTGACAGATTTTTGTTGTAGATTTATTGTCCTTTCACTTTTTTTAAAAAAATCATTTGAAGTTGTATGTAAATGATTTATAGCACTGGGTTTCACAGGAGCTTTCTCAATCTAGAAGTTTAATGTTCTTTAAATATTTTGACAAAGAATACTTAGTAGTCTCTTTAAAATTCACTTTTTAAAACTCTGAGATGAAACTGTTGTTGAGTCTCTCTGGTGAAGTAACAGGCAACTAAGTTCATAAGTAATAGCAGTTTGGAAGACTGAGATCAAAAGCATATTCTTTCCATTGTCAACTGTCCATTCTTTTAAGTCAGTGAGTTTTTAAAAGAGAAACTCCAACAGGAGGAATACAGATTACTCCAAAATGACAATGGTATTTTACAAGATATATGAACAAATGCCAACACAATCACCATGAAGGATGACATGAATTCACTGCAGCATTTACGAATGTGAGAGAACTACATAAACAAAGACCACTCTCAGATTAATCCAGGCTGTTTCTTTTTCTTTTTTTCCCCCTTTGGCAAGAAAAAGAGAAAAGAAAACAAGTACCAAACCATTTCCTGGATATTTGATTCCTGACCTGAAGAGAGATGCAAAGCATATCAATTCCCTAAAAGTAACAGACCCATTCAAGATTAATAACAAAACTTCTAGTTAAAGGGAAAGACCTGTGAAACACAAAGCAGTTTATCCATGCGTATATAAATAGGCGGTGACTTGAGCTGTCGACTGAAAATGACCAATGTCCCTTAAATGAATAATACCTGTAGGATGTACAAAACAATCATTAGAGGGCAAAATATGCAGCATACACATCTCTTACCTTTTGCTAATTCTGTAATGTACCGTCTCCAAGTCTCCTGTTATTGGGTTTGAAATGGTGGCTCGCCTCAGCTGTGAAGCCAACCATCAAAATAGTTGCATTACAAAACAAAAAAAAGGAATCACATTTATCCAACCAGTCAGAATTCTGGGATTTTTACAAAGGAGGCGGAAAAGAGAAAATAACTCCATAGACTTCCAGACACCTTGTGCTGAGCCTTGAAAGCCAGTTGGTTTTTTAGGCTTTTGTATTGTTCAAAAGTTAGTTTTTAAAATTTTGTTTTGTTTTGCATGAAGGAAGGATAAACAAATAAAAGAGATTGGAAATTAAACTTCTTTCAATGGTTAGAGGATGTGACAGTGAGGAAAAGAGAAATTTCTAAAATTTGAAGTCTAACCTATGGTTATACAAATAGCTATTTGCAGTTAATGATTCATCCCAAACTTTAGATTTTAAGTTTTTTCAGTGATGGAACTTTGTCTGCAAAGGTTAATATTGTTCAAAATTTGTTTCAAGGTCAATCTTTTCTTCCTTCGAGATATCTGCTCACATATTTCACATATACAGTGAAATAATCTTGGACTGAGCAGAAAGGGAGATGAAAAGAACTGAGAAATGTTAAAAACAGTAAGAAAGGGATCACAGCCAAGATAATGATTTTAAACTTTTTTTTTTAAATGGAGGATGATTCTGAGGTTAACAAAAGAGTATGAAATTTTTATTGCCATTGAATTTCTTGATCAAAATAATCCAACTGAGGCATTCCCTTGAAGACCGAGGCCTCCAAACCCAGAGATATAAGACTGATTTCCAAGGTGAAATGAATTCTTAATAAATATTCTACCAAGATGTTTTGGTTTACTGGGTTTATTGACCACAAATAATGGGCTAAAATAGAAATCCAAAAGAGAATGACAGAGTAAGTAGCATTCTGTTTGGGAGATTTATAAGAATTCTCTTGGCTAGCACCCATACTTTTTAGACCAGTCTTTTCCATTTAGAATGTAATCTTTGGTAACAAAAAGTACCAATTTGGAAAAGTAGTAAAACTTAACAACAAAAATTCTGACTTTAAGTTTATTTTGCAGTACAGATATCCGGATAATTCAACCTTCAAGATATAACAAGGATCAGCAAATTATTGCTCATGGAACAAATTCAGCCTGACACCTGCTTTTGGAAATAAAGTTTTATTGGAATATAGCCAGGCTCATTTATGCATTTTCTATGGCTGATTTTGCACTTCAATGGCAGAGTTGAGTGTCGTCACAGACTGTATGGCCTACAAAGCCTAAAAAATATTTACTGTCTGGACTTTCACAGAAAAAATTTGCCAACTCCTGTGTAATAAAAGAGCAAAAATATGCCCAGTGTTTATTTAACAATCTCTATGAAAGTTATGGCAGTTTGTATTTTACTATCAATAAGATCAAATAGGTTTTAAGAACAAGCTGATGGGAAAAAAGGCAAGAGAATAAAGGATAGTCTTTATCACTTTCTCACAAAAGAAGAATTTCTATGCTAAACACTAAGTTTATAGGATTGTGTTTACATTAAATTGTTTTTCTTAGTAAGATAAATGTAGTGGGTTAAAGTCAGAAAACTATGATGTCATTATGTCAAATTAGCATGATGCTTATGCCCAATTATATCTTTCTAGTAATAATGTGCCAAAAAGAGAATAAAAGTACTTTAAGTATTCTTTCAGTTTAGAAGATATAAAAAAGTTGGTCTTTGATTAGTTTCTGAGATTAAAGGGCTCCAAAGTATATAGATAACTTTTTCAGGAAGATGCTGAAACACAAATTTGTTAAGTGTAAATAAAAATATCATCTATGATTTTCATAATTAAGTGCTTAAAGCCCTGGGTACATTATTTGTACTGAGAAAAACTGCTACAAAAAGAGTTTAGTTAACAACTCCATTATGTTGCAGCAACAATATGTAAAACTACCTGTGGGGTTATTGCCATATCAATTATCATTTCTGTAATCTTGCAAAGGAAAAACTGATACACAAATACAGTAAACTGAGGAGAGAATAAAGGAAAAAATAATTATTTACCCTTGGTTTTGCTAGATCTTTGACAATTTCAATTTCTGCATCAGAAATAATATCATGGAAGCGAATAATACGAGGCTTGTCCCACTCATCCTCTTGTTTGGCTGGAGCCAGAATAAATTTAGGATTCCGATTTCCATCATGGTAGCGGCAAAAGAGTTTTTTCTGTCTTCGAGGAGTCTAAACGTAAAGTTAATAAAATGATAAATATATTAGAGTAATAATATTTTTAATACTTGTTCCTATGCAGATAAGAAACAATAATCATGCTTGTATATACACGGAGTATCTGTGGAAGAATATACAAAAGAAACAGGACTCTGCAAATATTTTGCATCAAACAAGACCTTCAAGATTTTGAAAGTTTTATTAATAATTATTGTCGAGAGAGAGATGGTAGGCTTTAAAGAAGAAAAAAGGAAGAGTTTCTCTTTTAACCCATCTCTTGTCAAAATAAAGTTCATGTGTTATAAATATGAAAGAAATAATGAAGTATTTATGGAAATATGAAATGAATGACCAGCATTGCTCCAAACTTCAAAAAGTAACTGGGAAGCAACACCAGAAAGTTTCTAAAAGGAAAAACAAAACAAAACAAAATCTAACCAGGTTTTCCTAAATATCTCCCAGTTAAATGCCTGTGGGGAAAAAAAATTAAAAGGATTTTTTTAAAAAGCAAAGATGAAAATGAGTAGCTCTGAAAAAGAGAAAAGAAGTTGTTAAGCAAAGAAGCCAGGTGCTTTTATTAGTGCGTATTAAAAATAGAGCAGTCAAGGGGCTGGCCCCGTGGCCGAGTGGTTAAGTTCGCGCGCTCCGCTGCAGGCGGCCCAGTGTTTCGTTAGTTCGAATCCTGGGCGCGGACACTGCTCATCAGACCACACTGAGGCAGCGTCCCACATGCCACAACTAGAAGAACCCACAACGAAGAATACACAACTATGTACCAGGGGGCTTTGGGGAGAAAAAGGAAAAAAATAAAATCTTTAAAAAAAAAAAAAAAAATAGAGCAGTCAACAAAACAAATAAATGTTCCTGTCAATCATCTATGTATTATATTAACTAAATAAGTTATTCCATTGCTGATTCTTCTCTTGATTAAACAAGTATGTCATCTATGAAGTAGGAATAATATTAGTTTTTGTTTTAATTATTAGTTAACATACTAAAACAAATGATTCATGTTTAGTCTCCATGTATTTTATTTACCTAAGAGTCAAATCCAAGGCTTTACATCAACTAAGTCTTTTATATAATGATGAGAAGGATTTAACTATTCTGAGAAAAAGGATGCTCCCTCGATCTTGGGCAGAGTTGACATGTGCGTGTCACACCAACACACTGGCAAATTAGCAAACTTCTGTTTTAGACCTGTAGTTCTACTTCGCTCTCTTCTTTAAGAGTTATCAAGGACAATAAAAAATATCTGCTTACTACTCACAATTCGAACACTAACTAGATATTTGATGATATTATACAACTACTGTGATTTTTTTAGGTGTTATAATGGTATGTGGTTCCTTTTTAAGAGTGTTTCTCCTCCAAAGATACATACTAAAATATTTAGATGTGAAATAAAAAAAAAATGTTTCATGAGTCTAACAGGGTGTCATTATCCTTGTATTCACTCATTAGCTCTCAAAGCAAAAGTAAGCATGTTCCTGCAGGACTCCATGAACTTAGCTATCAAAGGTATCAACATAGATATGATCTACTTATTTGCTGTTAGAGGTTAGGATGTCAACAGTAAGTCATCAAATATCAAAAAGTCATCAATATAAAACACAAAGCCCAGCTTGAGTTTATTAGTAGTAGCGAAAAAGATAAACATTATTCAAATGTTTACACTTAAAAGTGCTTACTTCAAAAACTCACTAACTCCTTCTATATATGCCTGCATTCAACTGAACACTAGGTACCACATGATACGTCTTAGAAAAGGGTTCCATGATCAATTAATGTTGGGAAACAATGTGTATCATATCCCTAATGTACATTATCATGAAAAGTTCTGAGCTGAAAAAAACCTATGTTCCCTAAACTTGAACTTTTTTGGTTTAATTATCTATTAACAACCTGAAGCACTGGTACTCAGTTATAAATATATAAATACAATATACAATAAACAAAGGGATTTATAGACACATTTAAGTATTTTAAAGAATAAATGTTAAAGCCAAAATCTGTTGAGAGTCTTTCTGCATTTTTAGTATTTCTTAAACAGACTAAAATATCTCACTAAGCAATCTTGTCAAGGTTGACTAGGAGCAAAACTACAAGAGATTATGGCATAGATGAATCCATTGTTTCACAGGATGACTTAGAATGGTATATTATTTCTACTCAGGACTGTTGAAACCTTTTTTGCATTAAGACATTAAAAAAACACTTTATCAGTTCCCTTAAATTATCTGATCCTTCACCTTAAAAAAACAAGCCTCTTTTGATCTATGAAAAGAGTGACATTACCAAAAATACATGTAATGGTACATGATTCACAAGATTTATTTTAAAGCTATTTTACTAACAGAGTTAAGTGTGACACCCACAATAAGGTGTTGTGGCATACTCTAACACTTTATGCAGTAATTCTGATTTTTATCACGTAAGCTTAAATACAAAAAAACTCTGATTCTCTCCAGAACTACATACAGCACATACACACACACACACACAATTGGCTTTTCCACTTTACCATTTTGATACCCTCCCCACGGCACAGCATTTCGTACTTCTGTCTCTCTGGCAGGTAATCCACAGCAACCCCTTTTTTCTTTGGTGTGGTTTTCTGATCAGATTGGTCATCTGAAGCAGACTTATTGTCATCTTTTTCTTTGGCCATTATATACTCAAAATATTTTAAGTTACCATTAGCTCTCTGATGTTCAGGATCTATTAGAAGAGAAAGAGCGTGTCCATGAGTAAGTTTACAGTTGTTCAAGCATCAGAATACAATATTATAAAAACAGAGGATCATACAATTTACCTTCCAAATCAGATGCTTTTGAGAGTGAAAGGAGGCACTAATAAAAATTATTATACCAAAACAAAAGGTATAAACCAGTACTGCCTCCAGTCAATCAGCTCATACAGTCACCCCATATAAAGAGAGTTCTGGAGATGGAAACAGCCATTTATTTCAAAGCAGCAATTACTGCTTCTACTTTGAGAACTTACTAATCAGCCAAAGGAACTATGATCAATTTGATGTCAAATGAATTTTAAAATATTACTCATTCTACTTACTTTAAGCAACAGAAAAGATTTTTCTGAGACTGAAATGTAATCACCATGGGGAAAACAGAGCATACAGTTCAAAGGCAACCTTTACCACAGAATACATTATAAACATAGAACATAGCCTACTTTTGAGGGCTGAGTAGACTTCAGTCCCAAAATTCTAAGTGAGACGGAGAAGAGAGACTAAAGATATAATTTTCAAATAAGCCAGAATCCACTAACTGCCTCTGAATTGGTAGTCAGAATTTTTAGCTATCTTTTAGGGGGAAAAGAGGACTACTCCACCCATCCGAGAGGAAAAAATAATCCAAACAACCACACATATACACAAATAAGAAAGGCACAACAGTGTAGAAACTTCACTTGTGACATGAACTGAAGTATTGAGGAAATATAGCCTTACATTTGTAAAATATTTCTTGTCTTTGAGAAACTGCTCACAATATATATTGTGATATACGACATGAGCCTAATTTTGTAAATTAAAGGGAAAGAAGTTTGTTGGGGGAAGGAAGTGTATATTAAGGGAAAAAAAATTCTGTCGGGATCTTTGGGTGATTGACTTATGGACGACTCTTCTATATCTTTTTCTATTTTTAAAATTTTTCTAGAATGAGTAAAGTAGTTTTTAAGTCAGGAGAAAAAAATATTAAAAAAGGGTATTTGAACTAACATCTTGATTAATTCACTCAACTAAGAAATAATTATCAAAAGTTCATTTTAATAATGTTATAAACTAATGTTACCTCAAAAAAAAAAAAAGCTTATTTTCAGATGACCAATCCTTTTGAACTGTTTGACTCTTCTAACATAAACATATTTACCTATTCATAAAAATTAATTTTTTTAAAGTTTTAAAGCTTTGTTATATACCAAGGCCACCTAAATGAGCATACAATTCCACCTCCAGAGATTCTGATTCAGTAGGTCTGGGGTAGAGATCAAGAAATTTTCATTTCTTCCGGCCATTTGTGACAACATGGATGCTCCTTGAGGGTATTACACTAAGTGAAGTAAGTCAGAGGGAGAAAGTCAAATACCATATGATCTCACTCATAAATTGAAGATAAAAACAACAACAAACAAACACATAGCAACAGAGATTGGACTGGTGGTTACCAGAGGGGAAGGGCGGAGGGGGCAGGGCAAAAGGGGAGATTAGGCTCACACATGTGGTGATGGACTATAATTGGTTTTTGGGTGGTGAACATGATGTAATCTACACAGAATTCGAAATATATTACGATGTACATCTAAAAGCTATATAATGTTATAATCCAATGTTACTGCAATAAAAAAAATTTTAAATAAAAAAATAAAAGAAATTTTCATTTCTAATAAGTATCCAAGTAATTCTGATGCACGTGGCCTCTGGATCATAGAGATACACTACATCTCCGTTCAAAATACTAGTGGTAAAATTCTCATAAGATATCACATTTTTCTAACATTTGAATATGACAAACATATTTTAAATCTATTTATTTCAAATCACTATTTTGGAGTATGAAATGCAGCAAACAAAAAACACCCTTGTGGGGCTGGCTTTGTGGCCGAGTGGTTAAGTTCGCGTGCTCCGCTGCGGCGGCCCAGGGTTTGGATCCTGGGCGCGGACATGGCACTGCTCGTCAGGCCACGTGGAAGCAGCATCCCACATCCCACAACTAGAAGGACCTGCAACTAAGATATACAACTATGTATGGGGGGGTCTGAGGAGATAAAGCAGAAAAAAAAAAGAAGATTGGCAACAGTTGTTAGCTCTGGTGCCAATCTTTAAGAAAAAAAAAAAAAACCCTTGAAAGGAAACTGGTTAATATTTAATATGGTAACATGGTAAATAAACATTTTTGACTGAGTTAGCTAGGTTAGGTCCCACTTTTGAAATTCCTGAAGAGTACAGAGCAGAGAAACACAGTCGACATTATAGAACTATTAGGTGAGAAAAATCAGTTGCCATTTATTTAGAGGATAAACAAAGAGGATAAAGCACATCTGATAGATGAGGCTTGTCACTTTTTTTTTGGTGAGGAAGATTGGCCTTGAGGTAACATCTGTTGCCAATCTTCCTCCTTTTGCTTGAGGAAGATTGTTGCTGAGCTAACATCTGTGTCAATCTTCCTCTATTTTGTATGTGTGATGCCACCACAGCATGGCTTGATGAGCACTGTGTAGGTCAGCGCCTGGGATCCAAACTGGTGAACTCCAGGCTGCCAAAGCAGAGCATGTGAACTTAACCACTACGCCACTGGGCTGGTCCCAAGGCTCACAACTTCAACAAACAAAAAGTACCAAAGCTATATGATGAGATATATTGTCATATATCTGAATAATACATATATCTCAGAATTACACATATATATCATCATATAACTTTTGTACTTTTTATATGTATTATTATAATTATTACAAATACAATATAATTATATATTTATTAAGTATATAATTATTATAATTATCACATGTATAATTATAATAAAATATATATCCCCCAATATATCTGTAACCTTGAATTAGGCCAAGTTAACATACCTAGTTCAAGAAGCTTCTTTGTGAGCAAAAGGGCCTTATCCAGGTCTCCCTGCTGGTACACTGCATAGCTCAAATAATCCAGAACAGAGACTTTATCAATGGCAGAAACTTCGCCTTCATCCAGCTGCCTTAGTGCTTGTTCCATCCACAGTTCTGTATGGTAATAATCTGCCTCTGTATAGGCCACTTTGCCCAACTCAAAACAATCCTCAACTGTTAGAAAAGATTTGTGTTTTACTCCTATGGAAAGAAAATACAGAGAATTTTAGGAATCTTAATAGACCCTATGTTTATTTAGGACTATATAGCTTTCAAAGTGCTATTTTACTTTCATTTGAACTTCCCAACAATCCTCTGAGGTAGGAAAATCAGGCATTATCCCACGTTTATAAACAAAGGAACAATCTGCAAGGTAATGAAACACAGCAAGAATCACACAGCTAATAGGGTACATGGGACCTAGAGAACCCAAGACTTCAACTATCAGCCATTATACCAAAATGAAAGATCAACCAAGCTGAAGCATACAATTTTCTAACACAGTAGGAATCACCATGTGAGATATATCTATCTTTTGCTAACCAACAATCTGGGCAAGAGAGGAATAGACAGGACGAGAGGCAAACCTTTAACTGGCTCCTTCCCCTTTCCCTTCCTCTTCTTTTTCTCTTCCCCAAAGCATTAATGATATATAATTTACATACCATAAAGTTCATCCATTTAAAGAATCCAATAGTTTTTAGTATATTCACAGAGTTGTAAAACCATCACCATAATCTAGTTTTAGAATATTTTCATGAACCCAAAAAGAAAACCTGTAACCATTAGCAGTCAATACTCATTATCTGCCCCCTTCCCTGCCCCAGCCCTAGACAACCACTAATCTACCTTCTGTATCTACAGATTTTCCTATTCTAGTTATTTCATATAAATGGAATCATATAACATATTGTCCTTTGTGACTGGCCTTTCACTCAGCATAATGTTTTCAAGGTTCATCCATGGTGTAGCATCCTTTTTATTACCAAATAATAGTCCATTGAATGGACAGACTACATTTTGTTTATCAGTTGATGGACATTTGAGTTGTTTCCACTCTTCCGGCTTTTATGAATAATAATACTGTGAACATTCATGTACAAGTTTTTGTGTGGACATACATTTTCACTACTCTTGAGCATGTACATAGTAGGGGAATTGCTGGGTCCTATGGCAACTCAATGCTTTTCACGAACTGTCAAACTGTTTTCCAAAGTGGCTACACCATTTTACAATCCCACTAGCAATGTACAAGGGTCCCAATGTCTCCACATCCTCGCCAATACTTGTTATTGTCCATCTTCTTTATTACAGCCATTCTGGTGGGTATGAAGTAGTACTTCACTGTGGTTTTGATTTGTACTTCCCTAATGATGATATTGAGTTATATTCTTACATGAATACTGTCCAGTTGTATAACATTTTTGGAAAAATATCTATTCAAATCATTTGCCCATTTAAAAATCCAGCTATGTGTCTTTTTATTATTGATTGTTAGAGTTCTTTATATATTCTGAATATAAGTCCCTTATCATATATATGATTTTCAAATATTTTTTTCCCATTCCGTGGGCTGTCTTTTCATTTTCTTGACAGTGTACTTTAACGCACAGAAATTTTAATTTTGATGAAGCTTAACTTATTAATCTTTTCATTTATCACTTGTGCTTTTGTTGTTGGTATGTCAACTGGTTTCTGAAATGAAACTTCTATCTTAAGAAAAGGAGATAGTTGACAGTTCACATGAGATAAAATAGAAAACCAAAACACTGGGAAAATATTTAGCCTCACTAATCATGAAAGAAACATGAAATTAAAACAATTAAGAAAAATATTTTTAAACAATAGCCTACATTTATAGAGGTCTTACTTATTAATGCTTTATTAATGACACATGTCACTCATTTAATCCTCAAAGCAATCCAGATGAGGAACTAAAGTAAAGAGAGGTTAACTATTGTGCTGTAAGTCATACAGCTAAGAGCCAGAATTGGAATCTGCAGATTATGACTCCAGAAGTTTGTGCTCCTAATATTATACCATAAAATCGTAAAATTTAATGGGCAGAAGGAGTAGTAAATTGGTAACTTTACTTTTAATACATTCAGCAATATGAGACAAGAAAAATAATTTTATACCTTATAAATTGATATCATTTCAATTTTTTTTTTTTGAGGAAGATTAGCCCTGAGCTAACATCTGCTGCCGATCCTCCTCTTTTTGCTGAGGAAGGCTGGCCCTGAGCTAACATCTGTGCCTATCTTCCTCTACTTTATATGTGGGACACCTGCCACAGCATGGCGTGCCAAGTGGTGCCATGTCCGCACCCAAGATCCGAACCAGCGAACCCCGGGCCACCGAAGCGGAACGTGTGAACTTAACCACTGCACCACCGGGCCCACCCCTTAATTATTTTTTTGAGTTAATACTAGGGGTTGGGAAAGAAACACCTTGTATACCTGACTTTTGTATCTGAACCAAATATTATAGCTAAAAACTATAATAAGCTAAAAGCAAGGAAATGTATAAGGCAGATAGGTCAACATAATGAAATAGTGTTTTTCATTAAGAAAGATAATTTCAACAGCCATATAGGAAAGCCAGAAAACTCTAGACAGAAATACATCAAAATGTTAAACTATTACCCTGCGGGATGGATTACAAGTAAGTTGTTTCCTAAATCTTTATACATTTTACCTTTTCAAATATTGTAAAATTACCATTACTTTCATAAGAACAAAGAAAAGAGAGAGAAAGAAAGAAATGTAAAAAGTATAACTCAATGTTACATACAAAATGACAGCAACCATATAACATTCCATCTTTATAAACAGTAAATCAGATGAGTTATGTGGAGATTTTTAAGGCCTGAGTATTTTATGTTGTTTTTGGTTTATATCATGTTAAGTGATGGAGAGAGAATTACTTCTGGACCACACATGCTGGGCAGTGGGGGGAAGCTTCTGATATAAAATACCTAGAAATGCTGGGTAAAATATAACAATTATCCACTCATACTATAGCCAAGTTCACAAGAACTAAGCAAATTTCTTGGGGCCAAAACCAAAAAGGAACTTGACGCCCAGAGAGGTAAGCAGAGGATGAAGTTGACCCTAGAAGCAGTCGTCAAATCAGAAACCTAGAAGCTTGATTTTTAACCACCAAGCAAGGGAAAGGAGATAAAGCCTCAGGCCCATGTAAAGTGGCAAGCTGGTCCTGAGAACCCCAAATAAACCAGGTCCTTGAAGAACTACATCTTGAATGAAAGAAAGAACTAGAAAAAACCCTGTCAGCTGACAAACAGAAACAACAAAAGAACTTATTTTTCTCAGTCTGCACTGGAGGTAGGGGGAAAAATCACCTAGAATTCCACATGCAGGCCCTCAGGGAGGTTTTGATTTCAAACTTATGCTATCTTCATGGTCTGGGAAATGAAAGCCAAAAAATTCTCTTAAAGTGGTCATATGATGGTAACATCATAGGACATCTGGCAGAAGCAACATACATACTCTGCATAACGCATCCTCATCTCAGGTATTGCAATATTCCCACATACAATCTGAAGAAGTGTACACAATCCAAAATTACAAAGTACATGATGACACAAGCCACCATGAGCAAAATCAGCAGAAACTCTTAAAAAACAGTATTAGACATCCCCCAAGTTCTTCAGATATTGTTTTTTTTACCAGATTAAGAATACAAAAACACTACTATTAAAATGTTCAAACAAACAAACAAACAAAAATATGAACAGATAACATAAGACCAGGCAGATTTGAATGGGGAAAAAATAAAACTTCCAGAAGGGCCAGCCCGGTGGCGCAGTGGTTAAGTTCGCACGTTCCGCTTCTCGGTGGCCCGGGGTTTGCTGGTTCGGATCCCGGGTGCGGACATGGCACTGCTTGGCAGCCATGCTGTGGTAGGCGTCCCACGTATAAACTAGAGGAAGATGGGCACGGACGTTAGCTCAGAGCCAGGCTTCCTCAGCAAAAAGAGGAGGACTGGCAGTAGTTAGCTGAGGGCTAATCTTCCTCCAAAAAAAAAAAAATTAAAAAAATAAATAAATAAATAAAACTTCCAGAAATGATAAATATAATCAATGAAATAAAAACTTTTTGGACAGGTTAAACAGCGAGTTAGACACAAGAAAAAAAAGAGAATAATAAACCTAGAAGAAAGAGCTAAACAAATTATCATAGGATAAACTACCCAGGATGCAGGAGAGAGGAGGAATAAATATGAAGTGCTAGTTAAAAGACAAGGAAGAAAAAATAAGAATGTCTAATTGTATCTACTTAGGAGTTCCAGAGAAGACAATAGAGAGAAATGTGGGAGAGGCACTATTTAAAGAAATAATGGTGGACAATTTTCCAGAATTAAAACACATGAAACTTCAGATTCAAGAAGCACAAAGAATCCCAAGCCAAACATAGTACATATAAGGGCTTCTTAAGTTTGTGTTTCAAGGAAGAGGAAAATAATTCTGAAAGGGAAGTTTGAGGTACAAGAAAGAATGATAAACAAAGAAATTAGTAGACATATGAGTCAATCTAAGTTAAAGAAAAGCTGAACTTTCAGATTGGCAAAACTCTCAAAGTTTGACATTTTTTGGTGATCTTGTGGGGAAACAGGCAATCTCATATATTGATGGTGGAAATGCAAAATGATACAACCACTATGGAGGAAAATTGGGACAATAATAGAAAAATTATCCATGCACTTACTCTTTGATTCCAGTGGCATCATTTCTAAAAAGAAATTCCAAAGATCACTTAGCTAAAATACAAAATAACATATGCACAATGCTATTGACAGCATCTTTATAACAGCAAAAGACTGCAAACAAACCAGATGTCCATCAATAGGGGCCTAGTTAAATAAACTATGATACCTCCACAAACGAGAGTAACATGCATCTGTGAAAAGAAATGAGAAGGATTTCTATATATGAAATGAAGTGATATCTAGGGCATATAAATAAACTAAAACACTAAGGTGCAGAAAGTATTTATGCCATGCTGTCTTTTGTGTTTATGTTGAGAGGAAATAGGAATATATATACATTTGCTTATATTTTCAAAAAGAAACAATGGGAACAGAAAAACTAATAAAATCGTAGTTACATACAAGAAGAAAGGAAAGGTTGAAGAGTACAGAAATCAAAGTTGAAGTTCTGTCAATGAAATTTATTAGTACAG